CAGGGAGGAAAAATGTGCATTAAGAATAAACAATATATAAACAGTATATCCAGGTTTATACAGTATATCAAGATAAATAGGATTAAGGTGCAAGTGTACATGTATCGCACACAATGAAAAACTAAATAAGAATATGTACAATCCGGATGGCTTATATACAGGGGGAGAAATATTGCACATTCAGTATATTGCACAGGATATTGCACAGTCAATAAAAAAAACTATAACATAGCTGCACAGTGGTTTTTACAGGAGTTATTGTGCTTATAGTGCATTATTATAGAGTCTGGTGGCAGCAGGAATGAATGACCTGCAGTAGAACTCCTTCTTACAGACAGGGTGACTAAGTCTCTGACTAAAGGAGCAGCTCAGCTCCTCTACAGTCTGGTGCAGGAGGTGAGAGGTGTTTTCCATGATGGATGTGAGTTTGGACAGCATCCTCCTCTCAGCCACTTCCTCCACTGAATCCAGAGGGCAGCCCAGGACAGAAGTGGCCTTCCTCACCAGCTTATTATGTGGTAATAGGAATAATTGTCTTGATGCCAAAAAGAGCCCAACAGATTTTGCTTTCAGAAGTGGAGCAGTACGTCTATCGCCATAGTGTTCCGCTTGATTAATGCATATAAATAGCTTTATTATAAGTCATGCAGGGAGTTTTACAGATTATATGGACACTGCAATGTAACCAGAACAGGAAAGGAAAAACGGGAATAAGGAGAAAAGATGAAAGAAAGAGGAGATAAAAGGGAGATTATGATAAAACATGTTCAGTCTGCTTCATCACCTGCAAAGAGATGGAAAAAGAACAGAACAATCAACGGATATAAGAGATACAATAAAGAAACACCTTGATACTATTGCTGAAGTATAAGTGGTATTATTTAATCTAACATGTACTCTGTGTTACCTGACGATCAGAATATGGGTGGAGTGTGGAAGTGAATCTCTGAGTACCTGGAACCAAGCACCTGTCGTTGATTGTGAGAGTGCACTTGTGCATGTAAAGTTTATCCAAAGGAAAAATGCTCAATAGTGGTTGTGAGGAGCCAAAGACTCACCCCCCCCTGACACCTGACACTGCAGGTGTCAGTTTTTCTGCATCACAGTCTACCTAAGTTACCTGATTCATCAGGATCCATAGATAAGTATAACGGAGTATCGTCAGCATAGCGGTAAACATTCATCTCATGCTGTCCGATTATTTTATCGAAGGGAAGCTGGATATCGATTCCCATTTGAAGAATCGATTGGTTTCAGTTTCTTAAGATTTGACATCAGATTTCCTGATTTAATGACTGTTTAGTTATGCAACATATTGAGGTTCTGTCAGCAAACGAACGAAGCAACAATATGAGAATCGATTTACAATTTGGAAACTAATTTTTTTTACATGGATGAAATGACCACTGAGAAACGGTCCAAGCGGTGGACCCTGTGATACCACATAAGCAACCATGCTAGCTAAACAGGGGGCTGCTTAGATGCAGTCCGGCTAGTTGGACGGAACTGCTTCTGGTTCTGAACCAGTCAGAACAAAGAGGCTAAAAGGGTTTTTGGGCCACTATCCATCCTGGAGGCCCTGCTGGTAGCAGCTCGAACCGCACAGCGATGGATGAGTAGAACATTAGAGGAAAGTTGGAAAAATCTCTTTTTTTAGTATTTAGCAAAGGGGGGAGTTTAGTCTGTTTTAGTGTCAGATGGTGAGGAGATGTGTTTGTCTTTCTATTAGAAGTCCAGCAGCAGGATCAGAGTGAGAAACATCCAGATCAGAAGAACCTGATCTTCCAGCTGGAAGGAGAGCGCTGGATGGTGAGTTTGCTCGTTCACGCATCAAAGGAACTCTCCATGATGCTCATGTGACAGAGAACCGTTCTGCAGGACGTCCCCCGGGAGCTGCAGTGGAGGACTTACCTGCAGGAGTGGCACATCCAGAGGACACGGATCCGCCAGCTACCGGACTTCCTGGCCCTGTTCACCCAGCTGACTGTGCTGGAGATTCCCAAAAATCTGATCACTGAGCTGCCGCCGGAGATCGGTGAGAGAGAGGACTCAGTCTAACTGGTTTCGTCTTCTTTACTGGGACACAGGTGGCCTGTTCCACCCAGATCTGCTGTCTCTGTCCTGATGGAAACATCTGACCCCTGTCTGTTCAGGGAAGCTGACCCAGCTAAGGAGGCTGAACGTCAGCTACAACCGTCTGTTCAGAGTTCCTCCGGAGCTTGGAGAATGCGAGAAGCTGGAGAGACTGGAACTGGCAGGAAACCATAACCTGTGTGAGCTGCCGTTTGAGGTGAGGACACAGGCGTTTGGACGGTCCGTCCGATAAGCTCCGGCCGACTCAGAGGGTTGATTTCTGTCCACAGCTCAGCAGCCTGAAGCAGCTGGTCCACCTGGACATCTCGGAGAACAGGTTCGTCTCCATCCCCATCTGTGCACTGAGGATGACTGGCCTGCAGCTGCTGGATCTCAGCAACAACCACCTGACCGACCTGCCGCAGGACATGGACAGGTGAGTCATGATGTCATCACTACACCTGGCGGGAGTACAGGGAGCAGGAAGGAGGCACACCCTGTTCCTGCTTCCCATCATTCTGAGCTAAGAGGCCATTTTCACGCTAATGAAACCAACAGCCAAGTTTAACCATAGCAGGTCCTTCCAAAGGCCCGGCATGGTGGAGAGGGATGGTGATGTGGGCTTTTCCTGCAGACCTATTAGATTGACCGGCGGGAAGCTGTTAGCTTCAGCTAGCAGATCCTGCTGCTGATAGTCGTTGTTGACTTTTACAGGAAAAGTCCC